GGAGGCTGAAATCTAAGGATGGTGGTTTGAAGCCATCCCAGGAGTCCTTGAGACTCTTATCTCCAAGAAACTACTAAAAAGCTCAAGTGGTACAGTGCTAGCCTTAAGCAAAAGGAGCTTGGGGACAGTGCCCAGGCCTTGAGTTAAGCCCTAGGATCAGCATTCCCCTCCCACAAAAAAAGAGGATTTAAGGAGAATATTAGGAAAAATATGTGTGTGTATTTTAATTTCCATTTTTAAGACCTGGTTTGGAGAGTAGCTCCTTTTGATTTAGTGTGAATGTCCTGTATTGAACCACTTCTTTCCATACTTTTCTTCATATCTTTCTATCTCTGTTTCTATCTCTGTCTCTGTCTATCTGTCTGTCTGTCTGTCTCTCTCTCTGTATATACCTATATATATGTATATATATATATATATATATATAGGTTTATATATATATATCTGTAACTGTCTGTCTGTCTGTCTATCCATCCAGTACTGGAATTCAAACTCAAGGTCTCAAGCTTGCTAAGCAAATGCTTTACTGCTTGAGCCATACTCCCAGTCTTTGCCTCATTTCATTCTGACAAAAAACCTCCAGGTAGTGTAGAATGATGGCACACACCTATAAACCAGTTCTTGAGAGACTGACACAAAGCCTGGGCTATATAGCAAGACCTTGTCTTAAACAAACTAACAACAATCCCAAGATGTAGATGTTTTATTTATACCCATTTTACAGATTTCAGAGTAGGCAAGTAACAGAGCAGGGCTAGGATGATGCTGACACCACTATGTTCCCTGTCTGCCACCAAGGGTGCCCCATACACCAGGAACACTCTCTGGCCCTCTCTCTTGGGCCAGATCAGCTCTCTCATCTCCCTTAGCCTCAGTCAGATGGACGTATTAGACTAGGTCAACAAGTTTTAGCAACAGAATCATTTCCCCAGTTGAAATCTTACTCTAAGGGTTAGGCGGCTGGGGATGTGGCCTAGTGGTAGAGCACACAAAGATAGAAGAACATAAAAAAGTAGTACCTAGCGCTGTCTGAACTGTAAGAGTATGTGTGTGTGTGTGGCGGGGGTGGGGGGGATGTCTGAGCCTCACATGGAGACATCTCTCCTCATTCTTGGAGATATATAACTCCAAGTACCCTTGGGGTTATAAAGGGTACTTGTTGAAAACCACTCCAGTAGATCAGCCCCAAGGGGCCTTCAGCCTGATACATGATGAAGGTCTATGACCAGGCCAGCTCAGCCCTTTGGGACCAGGACCCGGCCTCCTATGAACAAGTACAGTGGCCAGCAAGCCCTGGTACTGCCTTGCTCCTCTGCAGGTCTCAATCTTTCCACCCATAAAGGTGGGCTGGAATTGAACTGGACCATTCTCAAGCCCTTGGATCTTAGAGACAGGTGGGGTGAGGAGGGAGTCACAGTCCTGAACTAACAGGGATGGGGAAAGACACAAGGTAGCTTCTAGGCTGCCAGAAAAGGGGGCAAGAGGCAAGGAGGACAGAGGACAAGGAAGCCCCTGAAGAATTGGGCAGACACAACAGACTAGCCCTAAGCATTGGGGTTAAAGACATGCCCACTCTCATCCCTGCCCCTGGACATTCTCCATCACAGTGAATGCTGGGGAGAAAATTGACTTCGGAGACTCTTAACTGAAGCGTAGCCATTTAAGAAAGTGGATTTGGGGAGTCACAGATGATTTTGGGCATTGAACTCCAGAATTATAAAACAGAAGTACTTGAGTATCTCCAAGTATAGAAGCGTAGAATTTTAAAATGATGTAAAATTAGAATTCCAGACTTCCAGGGTTATTCTGGAAAGACCAGCCACATAGATTCCTCTAGGAAGGTCAGAGAGCCCAGTGGTCTCAGAGATTGGGCAGGGTAGAGGGTCCTTAACGTAAGAGGCCTGTCTGTAGGGAAACCACTGGCCAGGTTCCTACCAGGGTAGGCTTTAAATAACAGAACCATTTCCCCCATTGAAATCTCGTTCTAAAGGCTGTGTGAGGACTGAGGACAGAGTGCTTCAGAGAATTGTGAGCTGAAGGTGTTACTTGAGAGCTCTCCAGGCGCAGGAACCAGTTGGCTCACTTCTGTCATCCTAGCTACTCAAGAGGCTGAGATCTGAGGATCTTGGTTCAAAGCTAGCCAGGGCAGGAAATTCTGTGAGACTCTAATCTCCAATTAACCACCAAAATCCGGAAGTGGACATGTATCTCAAGTGGTAGAGTGCTAGCTTTGAGCAAAAA